AGGGGCAGGGGGGTCCCCCCCCCCCCCCCCCTCCCCATTAGTCCTGGTGACCATGGTCCAATGGAATGAAAGGAAGGGGGAAAATCCAACATTTTAAAGCTGAACTCTGGGCAGGGAAACCTTCATTTAAAGACATTTAAATTTCAATGACCACAATGTATATAAATTCAAATGCCTTTAAAAACCCATATTAAAAGTAGCAGTGACATCATCACTATGCTGTACATAGCCTGAGCAGAGCTGTGGGAGGGGCACAACAGACCCCACCCACTACCGGAGGGGGTTAGAGACAAGACCAGTCACCCTGCACAAGGAGAGAGCAGCAGTGAGCGGTCTTTATTACAGGAGGGGGCGGAGACAAGACCAGTCACCCTGCACAAGGAGAGAGAGCAGCAATGACCGGTCTTTATTACAGGAGGGGGCGGAGACAAGTCCAGTCACCCTGCACAAGCAGAGAGAGCAGCAGTGACCGGTCTTTATTACAGGAAGTTCCAAGTCTCACACTAGATCACTGCACAGATCTGGAAGAAGCTACAAGGATACACAGGACTCTTGTATGAGGACAATATTTGCTGATCCCGGAGTTCAGCTTTAAAGTAGTACTGAAGCCAAAACTTTTTTTTATTAGTTTTGGAGAGAGGGTTAGCATTTGTTGCCCTCTGTGTCCCATGGGGGAGATTTCCCTTCATTTCCTGTCTGATAGCCACAATAGGACTTAAAAAGAAATCCCTCTAAAGTGATGGGAATCCTTGGTGGTCACCAGCACTAGTGTCCCCATTGGAAGATTTCCCAGCTATTCCTGTTCTGGTGACAACCCAAAATTTGGCATTTTCTTTCACTTTCAGTGCGAACGGTCACCAGGCTAAATATGGAGGGTGAATATTCCAAACAGGGACACAGACAGCAACAACAACCTGATAGTTATGTGCAGAGTGAGCAAAGGTTATTAGAGCACCTAAGCTAAAGTTTTGGCTTCAGCTGCACATTAGGCATGCACATATGGTCACATAACTGGTTGAGCACTCAAGGTACCCCCAAGGCCTGAGACACTCCACCACAGGGGTCGGCAACCTCAGCACTCCCAGCAGTTTTGGCTTCAGTTGCACTTTAAGTTGTCAACAGAACAGGAGCAGAAGGTGACTCATCCAATGGGGACACTGGATCCGATGATTACTGGACCTCACTGTGGGGAGATTTCCTCTCACTTCCTGATGCGTCTACAAAGACAGGAAGTAAAGGGAAGTCTTCCCAATGGGACACCCTCATCTACCTTATCATAAAGTTGCGTCTTCAGGTTACGAACCTGGACCAAACCACATGCCTGCGCTCAGATATTTACCTGCTCTGACATCGTATTCCCAAGTAATGTTTCACTTTCGAGATAAAATAAACTTTATTTACAATCTAGGTCCCTTTGCCCTAACAATATCCCCCGATTTTCCTTATTTTGGTCTTTCCCAAAATGTATCAAATCTCTGAATCAGTTTCTGTAACACTGCACATAAATGTATAACTGAACTCCAATACTGCAAACCTTTCACCATTGAGGACCGCAGGAAGGACACTTTGTACATAAAACCGACGTCTTCCCGCTTTGTTTGCCCGCAGGACTGGAGCGCCTCAATACGGACCTGCACACCGAGGTGGACAAGTGGATTGGACCAGCCAGCACCATCTCATCTCTCAGCGTCCGGCACAACGTTCTGTATGGTGGCAGCCCATCCCGTCGTGAGGCGGCTAGAGGAAATGAAGGTCCTTCATTGGCGTGTCTTCCTCCCCTGCGGTCTTATACAGGAAGTGGAAGTCCAACTTTTGCTCGTTCTTCAGCAGGCGGGATTTCACCTGCTGCGGTAACGCGTCCTCGGCGAGGCGGTAGAATTGTTCGTTGATGAGGACGAAGAGGCCGTATTTGTGGGGCTCGGACACCTCAAATTTTTCCACGCACTGTTGGAGCACCTGGGCGACCCTCGTGTCTGGCTTGGTGGCCAAGGTCCTCGTGTTCACGTCCAGCTCTTCGAAGGAGATGGTGATGAAGTCCTAGAGAGAGATACAGAGAGAGAGAGAGAGAGAGATACAGAGAGAGAGAGATACAGAGAGAGAGAGATACAGAGAGAAGACATCGGGTCAATGAACGGGCCAGCTGGGGGACTGCAGTTTATATATAGCTGTTGTGACTAATGCCCACCATGTAGCTCATGGGGCAAGCTGGACGTGTGGTTCTAAATGCCAATACAAGTCTTAAAATGGGTCAGCAACAATATGACGGTCCAAATGTTTAGAATCTGAACTCTGGACTACAGAACTCCCATCCCATCCCCATTTCATCAAGGTGAAGAGAACGCACTTCCTGTGTGACCCGAGAACAGGAAGTGTGTTTCTGGCAGGAGCACCAGGAGAAAATCCTGAAAAAGCCACCACATTTTGGGGTTTACATAAAACTTTAACTGGGATTATATGAATGGAGTTGTATCTGGCAGAAGTAAAAGATGTTGGGGCGGCATTGTAGGTGGTGGATAAGGTGGTGTTGTGGACACCCCCCCACCTCTATTGCGGGAAAGATCTTCTAAATTTGACATAGAATGACACTTCCATATTAATTTAGACCTGTGTAACCTCAGCACCCACATTTGTCCTCGGTCATTAAGTCAGGACCCAAGTCACACTGCACTGGAACTCACGGCATTAGGGTACCGCCCGTTCCAGTGCGGGCGTACGAACTGTGGGTGAGAGATGCGTTTGGGATACCGTTTAAATAAATGGCAAATGCAACGCACCTCCCACACCAGAATGCACGGTGGGTGCGACTGCATGTTACAGTGCGGTAATCCCATCAAACTCTATATGCGTACAGGAAATATTTATACGGTCCAATGGTCCAACCTGTATGGAGGAGCGAGACACCCTGGCCTTGTTCAGCGTCCGTCTTCTTTCCCAGCGATGGATGGAGTCTTGCACCTCCAGGCTGAGCTGCCGGGTCACTGTGATCTTATCGTAGTTCTTGATGTGCTCCACAGCCCCGTAGGTGGTGGTCAGGTAATAGGAGCCTGAAGGAAGGAGACGGACTGTTAAAGTCATTGCTAAAAAAGGCAAAAAACAATTCAAGAACTTCTCTAGTGCCTTTCAGTCAGTGCTGGGACAAGGTCCTTTAGCACCTCCCCCTTCATGAACCACCTCAGCAGCATTGGTTGCAGGTTCTGCCCTTTTTTGTGCCCCCTCCTGCTGAAGTGCCCAAGGCAGCCGCCCCTTCTGCCTACCCGTCAACGGCCCTGTTTCCAGGGGACACAACATAGAAACGTACACATCGGTTCTTGCCCCAGATGAGTTTATGGCGCACAGATCACTTTGGACTGATATTACAATACTAGAAGGCTTTCAGAAATCAATCTCAGTTACGGGAGGAACCTAAAAACTCCAGGGACACAGAACCCTCATGGAAATGAAATCCAGGACTCAAATACAACTTCAGGCAAATCTACAAAGTCGGCGGCCATTACCTTCTCCCAGCTGCAACGAAGGGTCCATCAGCTCCATCATATACTCCACGTCCTGGAGAAGGGCCACGAGGTCGCAGCGGGCCAGGACATACATGAGAACCGGGAGAAAGTCGTCGGCTCCGTGTGGCTTCCCTGGGGAAGAGACAGAATCCAAAAATCACTTACAGGTGGAACAATTGCCCCGGAAGGGCTCCCCATGGGGGTAGAATAGTCCAGGATCACGTCATTTTAGAACATTTTACCCTTTTGTGACTAGAGATCACTGATGCCCTGATGCCCAGACCACACTGAGCAGCGTCACCATGCATCGGTTATCTGACCAATTCTCTTTCCCAAATAATTTTAACTTTTTTTTTAAAAACGAGGCTTTTATTTGGTGCAACATTTTAATAAATATCTTCCTTACATGCCCTATTGTGGGCTATCAAATGCACAAAACAAAAAGCTTTATTTAAAAACAAGCCAAAACATGTTTTAAACACTTTGTTGTGGCTTAAGATATCTGTTGGTGACAGTGGTTTATAAAACAAAGCCATGTGATCACATGATCAGGAATCACAGCGGCTGGGTTCCCGATTGATGGTCTGCCTGAGCAGCTGTCATTGACAGCGGTTGCACAGAATGAGCAGCGGGCATGAGTACGTGCTGCTCATTCAAAAAACAGAAGATAGAGAAACTTTTCCCCTGCAGAGGGCTACACGCAAGGGATCGTCACTCTCCGGACTTCAGACATGAAAGGGTTAAATTCAGCCTAATAGCAGAGCGACTCCTGATTGCTCCGCTAGCTGAATCCTTGTAGCGGACAGCGACCTCATTTTTCCGAATCTCAGACCCTGAACAAGCTAAAGTGTGTTCCCAGGTTCATGCCCGGCCTTCCAGCCTGGGCCTACTCCGGTCTCCAGCCTCACCTACCTACAAGGGATGGCTTTACAACTACAACACTATTTCTTTTAACCACAACGCTCCAACTACATTAGGCGCCAGCGTCCATGATGCACATTCCAAGCCCAACTTTTGAAGAAAAAAAAATGCAGGTCCAATTTTTCACCCATTGCTGTGTATTGGCAGTCCATTTAAAATGAATGAGCTGCTTCACCGCAACAGACCTTAATGCAAAATACTGCAGATTAATACACCACAACAGACTCGACATATGAAGGGGGTCCTAAAACTTGAACAATGGCGGACTCAGTGAAAGCCGGTTTAATGAGGAAGGGGGGGACCATTAAATTAATTCTGCACATACCCAGGGGAGCATATGCCTAAATTTTAGTCTGTATTACAATGTAAAGGTTGCACGACCACTTCTCCTCCTGCAGGGGTCACTGGTGTATCATCTTATCACTACCCATTGCACAAGGCGTTCCAACACTCATATGTTACATCAGCAGTTGCAGTTAGTTAACGTTTACAGAATTTGTGTAACCAGAGGTCTGCAGGTTGTGTTGTGGTGAGGAGGACGGGTGTGACAATGACTAACTTCTTATACAGGAACAGAAACATATACAATCAGAACTGTATTCCCCCGTTTTGCCCTCGCTTGAGTCAAATGGGGGCTGATTTTGGTTCATGTGCACCAATCTAAAATCAGAGGGATGAAGAATTATTACTCTGAGCTCAAGCAATACTCTTAAAGACTTATGTTTTATCTTGAATTCCTCCTGAAAAACAGCAGAGAACTTCCTGTGCCTAGACACCCCTGTCCTGTAGCCCCAAAACTATATCTGCAGTGTGAGAACATCTAAGGCACTGCTGCGGTGATGTCACTGATGTCACTGCTGTGCTGCTCACTTTTTTTTCCTTGCTGGAGAGGGAGCTGTACCTGAGGACAAGTAGTGCAAGACTCTCCCTGCTTCTGCTTTGACCTGTGCTTCCTCCACCTCTCCCGCTGCTTCTTCATCAATACCCCACCAGCCATCGGGGGGGGGGGGGGGGGGGGTGATCTATTACATCAGTCATCAGGTCACCAAGGGGAGGCAGATCTGACATGAGGAAACAAAGCCCTGTCTCTACAAAGATAGCTGTTTCCATGCAAAAATACAGTGCAGAAGAAGGCATGGCAAAATAGTAATAAGGAAAGATAGTTGCAGAGAGACCACAGACAATACTGGTGGCTGGTCCTATGTCCAGGGGCGTCCCGAGGCTGGGTGACACCCGGAGCGGTAACCGAGTGTCACTGCGCATGACGTCATCGCGCACGCGCGGCAGTATTCTGATACCTGCCGGCGGCTATCTTGGTGATGGATGCCGGCAGAGAGAGGAGGGGCGCCCGACTTTTCAGAGGGGGTGGCACCAAAATGACTGAGTCATTTTGGTGTCACCCCTCTAATGGTGTCACCCGGGTGCGGGCCGCACCCCTCGCACCCCCTTGTGACGCCACTGCCTATGTCTTTTAATTTGCCTTTTTGGGCACAGCTTTTACAGTGCAGGTTCTCATGGCCCAGCATGGAAAGAGAGCATGGCCCTGAAGAGGTCAAACTAGTTCCCAACCCTTTCATTGGCATCATGAATGGCGTCATCATCATAGACAACAGGTAAGGAGAGCAGATACAGGATGGACTGAGCACATACCTGGGTTCCCGGTGGCCATGGAGTCGTAGATGAGCTTGCATGCCTTCAGCAGGTAGGTGATCTTCTTCTCTGGTGAGTAGGTCTTGTGCATGGTGCTGAACTTGTGGATAATCTTCTCCATCACGCCGCTGTCTGGCACGCTGGTGCTGATGCCCAGGTCGGTGGAGGTCGTGTCCTGGATGACCAGCTGGTTCTCGGTCAGAAGTCTCATCGAGCCGTCCTTGTTGTGGATCTCCCGGAGGTAACATTCGATGGGGGCCTTGAGCGGCTTCAAGACGCACTTGCACAGCGCCGCCTCCACAATGGCGTCTGTGGGGAGGGGGGAGGGGGGAAACATGTAAGGGGAGCGGAAATTAACAAAAAAGAACATGCAGCTTGGGAAGGAAAAAACGAATACGTGATTGCAGGAGATCTGTACTTTCTTAGTAATTTGGGGAACTGCTTTCGTCTACTTGTTCTAAGGGCGCACGTTCCAGGGCTGTCATCCCATCTTTGCCAAAACTTTTCTACTGTTTTGGACATGGAGAAAGTTTAGAGCCTCGGTCAGGCTTTTATTACTGCCCATGTCCCTGTTGGAGAGTTTCCCCAACTTCTTATCGGGACAAAAAGTGATGGAAAATCTCTCCAATGGGGAGATTTGTTTTGGATAAAGTGGGGGAAGGATTAGAACGTGAACAATTTAAAACAAAACACAAAAAACCTAGAAACTAAAAATATTTAACTTGCAGTGAACAATAATTAAATATTAAAAAGGACTAAAAGAGCTTATTCTTCTGCCCGCCATATAGCTGGGCGAATGCAGTTTATGTAGCATTCCTGCCACTAGGTGGAGCCAAAGAGCATAAACATTTCCTATGCTCCTTAGCTCTATCTAGTGGCAGTGACATTGCTCACTTACTGTACTCTACGGAGGAGCACCAGTGTTGTCAACCTATGCTGCTCTCCTGATTTGGACTGCAAACACCTCCCTCTCTCCTCATCCCCTTAACATAGGGGGGAGATGTTCTGTAGAGGACCGGGAAGGCTGCTAAAACATTTTTTGAGATGTCAGTACATTGCGCAGGAAGTGACAAAAGCAATGGATTTCTGGACAGAAATCAACAGATGTTGTACTGGCAGATGTACTGGTAAAATGGTTTGCTCTTGGGTTTAAAAGACACAGCTCTATCATATTATGCATTTCAGCTCTACATTAATCATCCCCTTACCTATTTTATCATCCGTGTATAGATTATAATCCACTATGGACTTCAGCTCAGTGCTCTGAACCAGATAACTCTTCAGCTGGGTCATCATAAGCCGTATCTCCTGCAGCATCTCGGTGCTGGAGCTCTGCTTGGCCATCATCTCCAAACTGTAGGCTTTATAATCCTGAACCAGATTCCCAAAGTACGAGTCTTTGTCATGAGCCATTTCGGCAATCCTCTTCTGCAGCTTCCGGTCGGCAGACATAAACGCCGAGAAGACGTTGGTGATGGCCACGATGGACAGCCTGTTTTTCGCCCTGTTCAGCATAAATGAATGGGACTTCTTGATGGAGGCGCCGGTAAGTCTGTCGCCGTCTTCTTCGGTGCTGCTGGTAGAGGTGGAATCTACCTCCGGATTGGACGATGGGGTATTTGGTCCACTCCTCGGCGAATTCAAAGATGAATCTGAATCCTTTAGATCTTGGGATGTGGAACTTTTTTGCCGTTCTTTTTTGTCCCGGATTTTGACGTTGCCGACGTTGTTGTGGGTTTCAGGATTCTTGGAGGGGTGGTGGAGATCTGGTTTCTGCTGGCCAGCTGCTGCAGAGGAATCTTTAGAGGACAATTTCTTCAATCGCGGTGGCGGGACGGGAGGCAATTTCTTTCCGTCTGCAGGTGTTTTTCGTGGATGTCCAGGAGAGCCAACCTTCTTCTGTTGTAGGTTTTCATTGCTTCCTCTCCGATCCTCTGCTTGTTTCACCAGTGGCTTAACTTTTGGCTTATCGTTCTTTAGCTCAGGAGATGTTGGTTTCTGCCGTGGATCGTGCGTTACAGAAAAAACATTGGATGCATTATCTGGGACTTTCCCAGAAGGTCTCCTTTTTGGGACGGCGGGTGGGACGCGAACTGGAGTCCGAATAGGAGATGCTCCTGGAAGCAGATCATTTCCAGGAAACACATCATTTCCTGAAATTTCTTTATTTTCTTCCAAATTGCTGATTGTCATTTCCGCAGAAGGCTTCTCGATAATATGATCATCGGCGACTGTAGACCCCTCAATGGTGGAAGACCCCTCAAAAGAGTTTTCTGGCTGGCTTAAGGTTGGAGCAGCGGATGAGGAATGAGAGATGTCCGTCTTACTTGCAGGACTAGAAGTTTCAGTTGGTGAAGAGTTAGAAGTAGGAGGAAATTCAGATTCTGAAGGGTTAGTATCAGAAGATGGCGGGTCACCAGAACAACATAGTGTTAAATGTTCCACTGGAGGAGCAACAGAAGAAGTTATATGTTCCACTGGAGGAGCAACAGAAGAAGTTATATGTTCCACTGGAGGAGCAACAGAAGAAGTTATATGTTCCACTGGAGGAGCAACAGAAGAAGTTATATGTTCCACTGGAGGAGCAACAGAAGAAGTTATATGTTCCACTGGAGGAGCAACAGAAGAAGATGGGGAAGACACAGAATGATCAGCTGGGGAATCGTCCAAAGCAGGATTCAAAGCAAGATGTTCATCTGAAGATAAATTAGTCGAGGAACATCGTGAAACCGGCTCATCTGAAGGAGCTTCGCAAGGAGAAGACAGGAGTAGAGGTTCGGTTTGAGACGGAGAAATCAAGCTGGTGTCAGAGGAGCTTGGAGATGCAGGAGAGGCAACCGTAGGAGAACCTAATGTTGGTGACTGGGACTGTGGCTGTATATAATCAGAGGGAGGCGCAGAAGGAGGAACAGACGGAAGTGGAGGCTTAGGTAACGAAGGAGGCGGTGGAGGAGGAGGTCTCCTGTAAACAACTTTAGGGAGCTGAACCTCACAGAAGGCTTCTCGATAATATGATCATCGGCGACTGTAGACCCCTCAATGGTGGAAGACCCCTCAAAAGAGTTTTCTGGCTGGCTTAAGGTTGGAGCAGCGGATGAGGAATGAGAGATGTCCGTCTTACTTGCAGGACTAGAAGTTTCAGTTGGTGAAGAGTTAGAAGTAGGAGGAAATTCAGATTCTGAAGGGTTAGTATCAGAAGATGGCGGGTCACCAGAACAACATAGTGTTAAATGTTCCACTGGAGGAGCAACGTTAGAAGTAGGAGGAAATTCAGATTCTGAAGGGTTAGTATCAGAAGATGGCGGGTCACCAGAACAACAAGAAGTTATATGTTCCACTGGAGGAGCAACAGAAGAAGTTATATGTTCCACTGGAGGAGCAACAGAAGAAGTTATATGTTCCACTGGAGGAGCAACAGAAGAAGATGGGGAAGACACAGAATGATCAGCTGGGGAATCGTCCAAAGCAGGATTCAAAGCAAGATGTTCATCTGAAGATAAATTAGTCGAGGAACATCGTGAAACCGGCTCATCTGAAGGAGCTTCGCAAGGAGAAGACAGGAGTAGAGGTTCGGTTTGAGACGGAGAAATCAAGCTGGTGTCAGAGGAGCTTGGAGATGCAGGAGAGGCAACCGTAGGAGAACCTAATGTTGGTGACTGGGACTGTGGCTGTATATAATCAGAGGGAGGCGCAGAAGGAGGAACAGACGGAAGTGGAGGCTTAGGTAACGAAGGAGGCGGTGGAGGAGGAGGTCTCCTGTAAACAACTTTAGGGAGCTGAACCTCGGCCTTTGCGACACAGTTAGGAAGAGGAAGTTTATCAAAGGTCTGAGCGTTGCCACACTCCTCGATAAAAATAGGGTTCACAAACCACAGCCTGCCACTGCCAGCTGACAGCTCGATTTCACAGGCACAGTCCCTTGGTTCATCCGAGACGTCTCCACTCCGCAGACGGCCACAAGAACCCAATTTATCGGGTTGGGAAATGAGCGCGCCTCTTTTGTCTCTTATGGAAGAGTCCCAGAATCCTGTGCAAATGAAAAAAAAACACAATTTAAAAAGGAAATCACTAGATCATTACAATTTATGCAAAATCCTATCAGGAGCACATTTCATTTCCCTGTTCACTGTGTATCCAAAAACGGACCTTTTTAAAAAATATTAAAATACTTGTTTTTTAACCTTCTTATCTTTGGTTACATTTCAGCGCCACTGATCCGCAACCATTTTGGAGGCACTTCCGCGATGGCTGCATGGTATTTCCCAGGACGGGTTTCCGGATGGTGACAACAGTGGATCATGTCTGTGTAATGGGTGTTGAAACAGCCACCCTGGCATTCCGCCCGTCAGGGTGACAATGCAAAAATTGTCACCCTATACCAGGAAGTGCCTGAAGAAGGACCTCCATGGCAGGATCAGCAGGGATTAATTTTATTGAAATCTGCAGATTTAAAAAAATATATTGCCAACAATGTGTGAAATTGCATTAAAGCCCAACTCCAGCTTTCTCGGGGACCCTTCAGAAAAGTAGAGTTTTTACTATTTGTAGGTCATAAAATTCAACCAAAATAGCAAAGTCTTACAATGAATCCTTATTGTGGGTTTTTGTTCTGATTTACAAACGGGCAGTACAAATATTTGGTATAAGAGTATATTATTTAGTATATCTATATCTATATCTATAGAGAGATAGAGAGAGAGAGAGAGAGAGAGAGAGAGAGAGAGAGAGAGAGTGTCTCAATACGTTAGTAATAGATACAATGTTATGAATCTAGAGACCACTGCAGAGAACAAGCATATGAATGTATTGCGATCCCCGTAGTATCAATGGTAACATCTATAGTCTCATTCCCTCCAGTGGTCTCTTGAATTGTAACATTGCATCTCCTTGCTGACATATTTACTTCCTGTGATCCTCAGCTCCATTTGGTGGCCATAATGAGTAACTTCCCCCATTCACTTGGTTCTTCATCAACCGACTCTAGTCATAAAATAACAGAGTGAATGGGGTAAATACAACATTATAATTCGTTTCGATACCAGATTACTAAAACGAATTTCGTCCGAATCCGAATTCCGAAACAAAAATTTACTTTTGGACCCGAATCCCGAAAAACTAAATAACGCAAAAAATCGAATCAAATTTTTTGCTGGTGCATGTCTATTCTTTATGAATACAGTATACTGAAGAACCAAGTGAATGGGGGAAATGCCACATTATGGCCACCAAATGGAGCTGAGGATCACAGGAAATAAAAGGTTAGTAAAGAGATACAATGTTACAGTTCCACAGTCCACTGGAGAGAATGAGGATAGAATTGTAACCATTGCTATCTCTGTAGTATCACTGGTTACATTTATATGCTTGTTCTCTCCGGTGGTCTCAAATTGTAACACTGTCTCCTTACCAACATTTATTTCCTGTGATCCTCCGCTCCATTTGGTGGCCATATTGTGGTATTTTCCCCATTCACTTGTTTCTTTATCAATATACATAATAAAGAACATTCAACAAGGAGAGAAATTACACAACAAACATTCGATTTTGCACCATTCTCACAACAGCTGGATAACTTGCACAGAAGGAATGTGCCCGCAGTTGCGCTGGATGAATAAGCTCAGTGAATGCTAGATCCCTTAGCGAATGTTACAGTAGATTAAAACAGGTTATACATTTATGGAATATCCATTTTTGGTGCATACAGAATGGTGAATCATAATGAAACCATGTTAGAGCTTGTTCCTAATAAAAGCCCACATTTCCAGGAAGGTGACACTTGCTTTGTGTTCTCAGACATTTTACTAGTAGATTAGAAAGTTTGAAGTACGGAGTGGTTGTTACAGGTGCCGCTCCTGATTGGCCAACAAGTATTTTATAATAGAAGTGCCTGTGGTCAACCCCATGGTGACAACATCCCAATTGCCAAAGCTTCGGTACAAGAGAACTTCTGTATAATATGACTCAATGTCTAGAAAGCCCCGGCACAGGCGGCCGATAAGAACTTAGCGAGAAGGTGAGGACTCCGGCTAAAATGACGTATTAATGGGAAAGACTTAATATGCTTGTAATATCAACTAAATTCAAATGAATGTGGAAGTTCCGCAGACAGTTGACCCCAAATCTCCGTTATCTCCACCATGCAACAGACTTTCCAGTGCTTTGTAATCTGCTCCAAGCCTCCACCCCCGACAGTCTTCATTGTTAAAGTGGATTAAAATCCAAAACTTATTTTTTTTTAAAGCCTAATTCACCTTCCTAGATTATTACTGTAAGGGCTCATCCACCTGTCCAGTGCCCCAATAAACAAGCGCTCAAGCTTTCTGCACAACACTGTAGAATGGAGCACAGCACACAGAGAGATAGGCCGCTGGAGACCCAGATCTCTGCACTTTGCAGTCCGGCTCTCTAGCGTGCTGCTGGCACAGAGTATACCCATCACTGTGCTGAGTTCCCGGGTCTGTACACCTGCTGTGCCCATTATGAGGGGCCCCCACCATCCCTGTGACGAGCTCCTGGGTCTGTACACCTGCTGTGCCCATTATGAGGGGCCCCCACCATCCCTGTGCCGAGTTCCCGGGTCTGTACACCTGCTGTGACAATTATGAGGGGGCCCCACCATCCCTGTGCTGAGTTCCCGGGTCTGTACACCCGCTGTGCCCATTATGAGGGGTTCCCACCATCCCTGTGCTGAGTTCCTGGGTCTGTACACCTGCTGTGCCCATTATGAGGGGCTCCCACCATCCTTGCTAGATGTTTTGCCATATTGATATTATAGGGAATGCAACAGGAGGAGCCTGCCTGGAAGACATCCAGCACCATCCAGATTTCTTTTTCCCTCTCTAGCCCGTTACCACAGTTTCTAGTTTTCAGGAAGCTATGTACAGCACCCTGCCAGCTCCTCCCACCAGCTATGATCCTCCTGCATTGCAAATAGAAGCTCAGAGACCCAGTAATGACATCACTGGGTCTAAAATAAGATATGTAATACAAATGGAAAAGGTTTTACTTAAAAATGACTTTAGCTTGAAGCTTTTAAATGTCTTACTACTACTCATCCACAATTATAATGAAATATTGGGAGGGGGATGGGTGCCTTCTCTAGAGCGTATGCTTTCCAGAGTTTTACTGTTGATTGTGTACGAATCATTTAATTTTGGGAATGATTGTACATTGTTGGGGTGTCAGAAGATTCCCCCCCCCTTCCATGAAACAAATTTTGTTCCAGTTCCCTTCTGGATTTTTAGGATGACGAGTCCAACTACGAAGTTCTGGATGATGTAAGATCGTCCGTTTACCTGACCCAAGGTTGGAGAGGGTTTCCAGGTCCTGCAGGGTCCGGGCTTTGGATATGACATTCGGGAGGAG